CACACACACACACACACACACACACACACACACACACACACACACACACACACACACACACACACACACACACACACACACACTCTCACACCCTTCTCATCGTCTTCTTCACTGGTGACTTGGTCCCTCTTTGGCACAGTAGCGCTTCCAAGCAAGCAAGAGCAGTGTGAATGGTTGGTGGCAACAGCTGCTGTGCAGTTTGATATGTGACAGTTCAGCTCTTACCCCTCGGACATGCAGACCTGGTTGACCTGCTACCTTGTGGGCTTAGGCCTCTTGGCCTTCAATGTTTCTGGAGAATCCGTCAGCCTACCTGGGACCCAGGCTGCGGATTAGTTCGACTGGACTGGACCTCTCGCCTATTGCATGCTATGCTGCCCGGCACCGAAGGAACTCGATTGGAGTATACTTCACCTATAGAACATACTGGATCCTCTGCTACCAGATTGCTATCTGGGACTGGATTGACCAAGTACCAAACCCCTTCTCGGACCCATAGACCCTACAGTGCCGACATACTGAGACTGCAGGTTCCATGCATTGAAGAATAATCAATTTAATATTTATTGAATTTTATTCCATGTAATTGATGAATAAGTTAGAATAAGTTGATAACCAGACAAGCCACCATGGTGGTATAAACTGTAGAGAGATTATTAAAAAAAAAAAACAGACAAAGTATTAAAAAGAAAAACAGACAAAGGAGAAGGGGTGGATGGTTCTCTCAGGTGTGTGCCTGGCCACCAGCCTTTTGGCCAGTGCATCTGACTTCTTACCTTGACCTCAAAATGTACGAGGTTTTGAAATACAGACCCCTCTTGAGACTTTTTCAAAGCGCCTCCTCTCCCCTTCTGCCCCCCACGCGCCCACACACACACACCAAAAAGAAAGAAAAACAGTGGATGAACAGTCTAAATGGTTCTGCCTCTCGTGCAATATTTCTCTTCTTCTGTGGAACCCTTTGACTGTGCTGGCCACATTGCTGATGCTTGCTGGATTCAATTTGGATGAAGCCCCATGAGGCAGCCGTACAGGGGAGATAGAGCGAAGGCGTAAGTAGAGGTTGAGCGAGGGAGCAGCCACCAAGTTTCTGGCACCTGCAGCAGAGACCAACTAGGGGTTCCATTTGGACCCCCCATAACGCTTTTGCACAGGCTAGGCCAAAGGGAGTTCACGCCAAGTTGTCGTCAACCCATAAACCCGATAAACCCCAGAAGCAACGGGGCCAAAGTCTGGGGACAACCCTTGCGATCATGGTCATCACAATTGCCGTGACGTGGAGGGCGGTGAAGGTGCTGCCTTTTTGCGAGATGCAGGAGGAAGTGGAGAACCTGATGTCATTGTTCCCCGGCATCTTCGTGAGCGCACACCCTCCCAGTTGTGCTTATCCTCACCCTCGCAGTTGCAGCAACCAGAAAGGGGTGTAGAAACATGTATCCCTGGCCACAAACCAGCCGAAAGGCGTCAGCAGCAGATACCAACTGCATTCCCTCGCCAGAATCCAGTAGACAGTCCTGATCGGCAGTCACCGAGCTCATTGCGGAGCGCATCACCTCACCAAAATCCAGCAGACAGTCCTGAGCAGCAGTCTCCGACAGCATCTTCTCGTGATCTTGAAAGGCGCTGTCATCAACTGCGTCCTCCAATCCGGACACACCCAGAGGCAGGAATGGTAATCTCTCATTCGAATCCAGTGGACAGTCCTAAGCAGCAGTCGCCGACTGCATCTTTTCTCGATCTTGAGAGGCGCTATCGTCAACTGCGTCCTCCAACTCGGTCGCGCCGAGAGGCAGGGATGGTAATCCCTCATCAGAAGCCAGCAGACAGTCCTGAGCAGCAGTCGCCGACCTCAGCTTCTGGTGACCTTGCAGGGCGCAGTCGTCGACCACATCATCTGACCCAATTGCACCTGGAGGCTGTAATGCCTATCCGTCATGGGAATATAGCAGACAGTCGTGAGCAGCAGTCGCCGGCTGCATCTTCTTGTGACCGTGAGGCTGGCCTTCATCCACTCCGTCGTGGAAGCTCAGCAAACGATCATCAGGAGAGGAGTGCATCTCCTGCGGATGTCGAAAGTCACGATGATCTGGTCCGTCATAGAAAGCCAGCAGACAATAATCAGCAGCACACTTCATCTGCTGCTCACCATTCTGTGAGTGTCCGTGAGAATCGGGGAAACAGTCATCAGCGGCGGGCTGCATCTCGTACTGATTTTGAAAATCGCGATGATCTACTCCATCATGAAAAACCTTCAGACAGTTATCCGGGACAGAGTTCATTTCCTGCCGATGTCGAAATTCATGACGACGATCTCGTCGGCCTTCAGGGAAAGCCAGCAAACAATCAGCAGCAGCGCAGCTCATCTGCTGCTGTCCATCATCTGAGCGCGCACGAGAATCCGGCAAACAGTCGGCAGCGATGGGCTGCATCGCGTGCTGATTTTGAAAGTGACCATTATCCGCTCCATCGTGAAAACCCCACGGACAGTCATCAGCAAGAGAGTTCATCTCCTGCAGATCTTAAAAGCCACCATGATGTGGTCGCCCGTGAGAACCTGACAAACAGTCGTCAGTGGCAGGCTGCCTCTCCTGTTGATGTTGTAATTCGCCATAATGTACACCGTCATGGAAACCCTGCAAACAGTCATCTGCAGCAGAGGAGTTGCCATGATGTACCCCATCATGGAGACCCCGCAAACAGACCTCAGCAGCAGAGGAGTTCACCTCCTGCTGATGTGGTCATCCATGAGAACATGCCAAATAGTCATCAGCCGTGTGCTGCACGTCCTCCCGATTTCGAATGCGGTAAATGTTCATGTAGGATAGTTGACTCGGCCGGTGCTTCTGCAATTGCTGTATCTGCTGCCGAATTTGGAAGGCGCAATGATCGTGGATGTAGAAACGGGACCTTCCCTGGCGATTCTGAAGCGGCTGCATCTTCTGCTGATTCTGAAACTCACTTTTATCCACATGCTAGCGGAGACTTGGCTGGTGTTTCTCCTATCGCCGCCCGCTCATCCCGGAGTAATGATAGCCGGCACCGTCGCCTGGATGCAAGTGGAGAACTGTTAGCTGACTTTGCTACAGGCTGCAATATTGAAACCCGGCACCGCTACGTGAACCCTGCGGAGAGCTGTGAGCAGCAGGGGATGGCATCTCCTGCTGATATTGCAGCCCATCATCATCAGGGAGCACCTCCTCTTCGTATGAGCAGGGATGGCTCCTCTTCGATTCCCCAAGGTGCTGCGTCACCACGCAATCATGTGCAACGTGAGCGGCAGGTGTCACATGTGCTGCAGGCTTATGATGTCAGTTGTAATCCAGTTCCAAGGAGGAGCAGCAGTAATGGACAACCCTACCGTCCCGAGCGGCACGGCTCTAATTTGTCACATTATGGCACTGCACATGAAAGTCCGGCTACGACTGTATTACCTGATGATGGTGCGACCTATCATGGTCATCGGTCACAAAGCAGAGACTCTTGTCCTCCAGCACAACAGGGAGGCGTAAGTCGTGAAATGATTGTAGCAACAGAGCAGATTGCTCCAGGCCAATCGCGGCAGACACATCTTCGAGACGGTGCTTCGAACATCGGAATTCGATCAGCATGTAGCAGTCACCATTTGGCAACATCCGCGGATGCAGGGATGGAAGGCATACCCGGGAATACTGTATGCGCTGCTCGATTTCAACCTGAAGCTGCGCTTGTGTCAAAGCATTCAGTGCCGGTGCAGACACGGAGTCATTATAAAGAAGACTGCTCGTCATCCAGTGTCCCAACTCTGGCAGTTGAGCCCCTGTGGCCAACTTCCATCTACGTCAATGTCGAGACACGGAATGTAGGCCGGTCTGCCAGCACTGGCAAAGTAGATCAGTCTGCGGGCACTGGCAATGTAGGTCGGTCTGCGGGCACTGGCAATGTAGGTCGGTCTGCGGGCACTGCTAACGCAGCGACCCGCAGAGGTGGCACGGTGAGGTATCAGACACTTGTTGTCATGCGGCATGGGCAGCGCATTGATGACAGCCCGGAGGCCAAGGAGTGGGTTCGGGGCCATCCGCGGTTGTGGGATCCTCCTCTTTCCAAAAGTGGACAACAACAGGCATACGACGCAGGATTGGCGTTGGCAGACATGGGCATATCAAGAGTTGTTTGCTCACCGTTTCTTCGCTGCATTCAGACTGCAGGGCGTATTCTTCAGGCCCTTAAGTCTCGCAGCAGATGTCCAGAAAGAGTAGGTAGCCGTGGGATCGATGCTGTGTCACAACAACGCGCACCCCGTGTCAAAGTTTCTGTTGATTCTGGTGTATGTGACGTCTTCAACCCGAGGGTAATCAAGGAGAGGCCATCTGATGATACCTGGTTTCCGGACCTCATCACAGACTTACAGAGACTGATTCCCTTGGAAAACCTTGACTTCCCGGATCCGTGGGTTATCGATCTTCCCAAATGGCCCGAGTATGAGGTGGAAGCTCGGCACCGCTTCATGCTCGCATACGAGAGGATAACTGCACAGTACGCTGGTGAAAATGTACTAGTGGTTAGCCATGGTGATGGAGTGAGTGCTTCGATCACAAATCTGGCTCAGGTAGTTGTCTATGAGGTGAATTTCTGTGGCTACAGTCATGCATGGCGCACGGTTGCAGAACGGGGTTTTGGTGAGTGGAATCTAGTTACAAAGTCTGGAGACTCTGGTGTGTCCTGGATCGATTAGAGTAAAGGTTGAAGATAAGCTCTGTATGGCAGGAATACAGGGGGGAGAGAGAGAGAGAGAGAGAGAGAGAGAGAGAGAGAGAGAGAGAGAGAGAGAGAGAGAGAGAGAGAGAGAGAGAGA